CCAACCTTTTGTACAAATACATTTAAAAGTTATTATTTGTCTCAATGCAAAAGAAAACATTTAAATAATTATTACGATTAAAATGATACACCGCTAGATTCCCCGATAGTACCTTTGAATAATTTTAAGTAATCAGGCAATGTAAAATAAATACAAGATGATTAGATAAATACAAGTATGTGACCTCATTTTTGAATGCCTGCAGCTGCGCTGGAGTGGGTGTCTTCACGTTGAGCGTCTTGACTGCGACGGGCCCGTGCCAGTGCGCCTTGTACACTGTCCCGAAGCTGCCCGAACCTGCACCACAATATATACAATGTTTTTAAAAATAACCCTACTCAAAAAATTCCCAAGGCAATATGACCAAGACCCTCCAGATGATATAAATAAGTCAAACAATATGTTAAAATTGAATAGAAAAAACAAAAAAAAATAATGTTTTTGTTGCAACACCAACATAAAGGACAAAATGTAAAAAAGCGTGTATCATTCTCTATACTGCTATATGAATAAACTGTGCTTTTCCGACTCCGATTTTATTACAAACCAAATAATAATCAGTCGACTCTCTAAACATGGTCCTTCGAGTCGGATTTGAACCAGTGAACTTTGGATGTTACGATTAACAAAAACTACGAGCTTACGATAAAAGCTATCAGCCTTCTCCAATAACTTCCAGAGAATGTGGTAGCTAAAGAATGATCATGATAGGGAAAGGACGTGAAATTCGTTCTACCCGTCTGACTAGAGATTTTCTCCTTATAACTATGTATGTATGGGATGTGTATTAGTTGTATACCGATACGTGGTCCGATGAGTATCTCGTCTGCATGTATGACCCAGTCGTCGTAGCTCTCGCGCGGCGACAGCGCGTGCTTCCACGACTCGTCCGCGGAGCGCGCGCGCGCCCGCCGCGGCCGCAGCGTGCCCGTCGGCGACGCCTGCGCACAACACTTACACTTACTTACTTTAATACTTATTAAATACATCGACTATTTTTATATATTACTCAACCGCAAAAACAATGAAAGGTAGTTCATTATTATTATAATTATTTTCAACTAGCTTTGCTCCTCCGTCTGCATGGACTTTAAAAAAACATATGTAGTCTATTTTTTCTTTTAGACTATACTCTACATCAATGCCAACTTTCGTATATATAATATTAGTATATTATAATTTTAACTTTTTACAACTAGAATAAGAAAGAACTATTTTTATCTTTTTTATTCATTGACGCTCATTTTGGAGCAATGGCTGCTGAATTAAAATGCTCTATATCAGGAGCCGAAATACAACAAGTTTTGTTAAAGGATAACAAAGAGTCTGGCTAGGAGAAGAGAAGGGCAAAGTGCCCCCATAACTAAATAATCAAATATCAATTCAAATTCATATGAACAAATCAAAACGCAACATAACCTAAGTCGACATATTTCAGAAGGCATATTATAAACGAGTCTAGACCGAACAGATAATAAATTAGAGGAAATAAAAATAGACTTAACACGGCTACTATTAGAGTTACTTACCTGTGTGCTGTGACTGTGCTGCTCTGCACCCTTGTCCTTATCCTCCTTGTTATGTCTGCCCGATGTCAGATATTTGTTTGACTGTGGCGAGTTGTTAGTCTGTACAAATACAAGGAAATACTTAAACATTTCACAGCTATACAATAATTACTGCTATAAGCAGTCATCGGCTCACTACATATTCCCACAGAGGGACTTGGAGCCTATCCTAAGCTAAGACCATAGTCAACAGTGACCTACTGCAGGTTGACTTCACTGATCTTTGAATTTATTTACAGACTAGCTTTCGCCAGTCGAATTAAAAAAATATAAAAATAAGTACCCTATGTGTTCTTCCAGAATGTCCTCTACATCTATACCAAATTTCATAGATATCTGTTTAGTTGTTTAGGCTACAGACTCTAACAAACATCCATCCATCCGTCTATCCATCCATCCATCTAAACCCTCGCATTTATAATATTAGTAAGTATGATATGTGCTGCAACACAAAATTTACTCTCAATATGAATGTTGGATAAATGTACAAATAAAAATCGATAAAACGCATGATGGGTTTTAAAAATCGGACCTTCGGATCACAATTTAAGTTTACGCCTAGACTATCAACATCCTACAAGAACATGACAGTGATATAAAAATATGAAAACTTTTGTTATTGCCAAATAAATACTTCTACAGTAAAGTTTAAACAGCTAGTTCAATATTATAAAACTTGGCAGACCTGATTGTTTTTCCTCTGGTGTTCAGCGAGGGTGATGGGACGCTGCACCATGTTAATGCAGACATTGGGGGCCGAGTTGGAGCGGTCCTGCTGGTTCAATGAGCGAGGGTGTTGAGACCTGCAAACATTTGAAACAACACATGAGTTAACCAAAACATTGGTAGTATTCACTTATTTACTTTATTACTATTAAAAACAAATTAAAGCATTAAAGCCAATAGACAATGCAATATTTTTTTAAATTTCGTTGTTGGTCATAATGCAATTAAAAGCTATAAAAGCATTTTTTTTATAATTAATGAATACAAACAGTGCTAATAACATAAGTCTACAGTGAGAATATTCACCAATGAGTGTCAAATTCCTTCAACTTCTTAGCGATAGACCTGCACATAGCAATCATTATGGCTATATAATTGTCCACTTGCGTAATCCATACTAATGTTATAAAGAGGAAAGGTTGGTTTTTTGGATTATTATATGTATTTTAATAATTTAAAAATTACTAGGCTGACTGCAAAAGTTTGTTTATGACAAAAAAGCTATGTTGTCGCTTAGTAACCATAGGCTATATTATGTGTTTATGCACAAGTTTTTAAAAAAATAGGTAGCTTTAAAAATGCATTTATGTTAATTACGGTAAAGTATAATGCTGTAAATATCTTTAATGTACAATATTAGTGAGTTTGGTTATTTCTAGTTGTTAAAGTAATGAGTTGCACTAACTTGCTCTGGTCAGGTCTGTTCATCATGTGATGGTATCCAAAGTGGGAGGGGTAGTGTAGGATGCCCGCCTGCGTCTCCGGGTTCTGAGCCAGCAGCGCCGCATAGTACGTGTCTGTTACACGCATCTACAATACAATAATATATTGGAACTATAATATCTAAACAGTAGATAATAGTGCACATTATAAAATTAATTTATATCACACTAGCTTTCGCCCGCAATTCCATTCATGTGGAAGTAAGCAAAACAAAAGTGAGCATCCAACATGTTTTTCCAGACTATCCTCCACATCTATGATAAATTTCTTAGAGATCCATTCAGCCATTTTGGCAACAAACTCTAACATCCATCTATCTTAACTTTTGCATTTATTTTATTATCAGATGTATTAAGAACATTAAGATTTGCATTGCAGAGTATTACACAATAAACAAAAATGTAACCCATGATTCACATGACATTTTTTTTATAGTATAAGGTAACAAACACTGCCAACTGAATTCATCAAAATAGTGAAATAAATGCAACCTTTAACCAATAGAGGAGGGGACAGTTTAATAAATATAATTCAATTGCATCGTCACCTCCTTCAGGTGGGATTGTGGTCAAGCACTAGCGTAACAAATAATAAAAAAAAATTAACTCACAACAAAATTATAAACTTTTATCTTTATACCTGGTGACATATGCTGGGCACTTTGTCTGCACAGCGCTGGTGGAACTTGAAATTGCACTGCGAGCAGTAGAAGCCATTAAATAGCAACCGTCTGCAGCACTCGCAGAATGCCAGTGTGAAGAATGTCTTCCTTGTAAACTGATGTGACATGTGGGACATTATCGGCAGCTTGTCCAATGTACGGACTGTTACCTGATACAAATTGTCTCTATTACTATACATTACAAATGGCAAGACACCGGTATATGAACACTATTGATGTCTCTTTAATTCAAGGTGTATGAGAGAGATGGCAAGAACCTTCCCATAAAAAACTTACAATAGCTGGCCTTTTTCATGGAGATTCTGACAAACATCTCTCTAAATAATTACACATATAATATTAGTAAACAAATTATTACTTGAACCAGAAATGGATACTTATGTTTCCTGAAAAATTATATTGACAATATTTATGCAATTTTTCACATTATAAAATATTTTTATAGAGTTCAATTAAAAAGTATCTAACTTTGCAACATTTAAGCCTTAATAGATATTCACTATGGTTATCTGATCACTTTGTAGAATTGCAATTATTAAGATTCTTCAACACATACCTCAACAGCATCAATCATTGTGATGTCAACATCCCAGGGAATCACTTGGCTATTGCCTGTCCTCACCACTTCGCACATTTCACAAGTTAAATTACGTAGCTTAAGCGCCTTAGAAAGCGCCTTCCGCAGAGTCACACCTTCCTTCACCTGCACACTCGTACGCTGCTGGTTAGGAAGGTGCGCCCGTAGGAACACCTTCGGCTGCCTCGTAAGCGTGTCATACTTCTTCGAGTCATCCTGTAAAGAACACTCTTCACTCCTATCCGGCGACTCGGACAACAATTCCCGTAAAGTCCCTTCTAAGTTATGCAACTTCAACGTCAACTCCTGATATTCAGATAAATACAACGGTGGCGGGTGCTGAAAACCAGCAAATTTCGCGTTTAGTGCATCAATGTTTTCACGGGTCACGTTTATAATACTACGAATGTTCCTAATTTCATATGTCGGGTCCGCTACGTCGTCACTGTCCGTCGATGTCGACATATTATCACTATTGAGGGATAATGCAGGTATATTTCCATTAATTTTTCTTGAACAATTTTCTTTCTCTCTAGTAACTGCCATTTCTTTTCTTTTTTTATTTTTTCTTAAATTTTCTCCGCGCCGCGCACACTCGCGCAGGATAGACAGGTGTTGTTTGTTGCCATTCATTTAATTTAACGTTAGCAAAATAAGAAATGAGTCCCAATGTATATCTTTGCTTATTTGAACATATACGAATTGTTGAGTGTGTGGCAAATAATGATGAATTTATTAACAACTAAATATTATATTGCATTTTCATGATATTATTGGTACATATTTAGAAAAAATTAGACATATGCATAATGTACATGTGCACTGCACTGAAACGCTTTGTTGACCAATTTTCGCGTTGAGAGTTGAGATCAACGCATAGAAGTAATAAGTACTACGTACAACAGGAATGAGTTCTATCTGTACATGTTGCAGTTAAATAAAGGAAATAACACCGTATGCTAAGGGAATAAGAGTCTTGTTGCACGCAAAAAAGAATTGAAATCTAGTGAGAGTTGCCAGATATCAATCCTTTCGTTGTTTGTAGAAAAATAGGTGATTGATGTGATGTTATGAAGTAAAAACATTTACTTCTAAAATATTTGTCAGTATTAATAATAATTTTTTACCCACATATTAAAGCCATATTATTTGTTGCTTCGTGTAAAACCATATTAACGCAAAAAAAATGCGATTGGCGTACAGGTTTTCTTTTATTTGTTTGAAATTTGGACTCCTGAACTGACAACTCCATATGGCATCCCGATTTAGTTAGTAGTTTGACTTCAGTTTGACTTGACTTGCTCAACGGGTCAGATAATACTTACAACTTACAAGTATCATATGACAGTTGTAATTTGGTGAACTAACAGTGTCATCTTGAAAACTCCGTATTTTGAACAATGAGTCCTTGTCTCCTTGTAGGTCTATAAATTAATTTCTGTTTTGCTGTGATTGCTTGCTCCTTTTATTCTATTACTAAATAACAATGACTGAACATATAAGCCGGTCAAAACACGTCTCTTTAGAGCAGTTAAAATCTCTACTAGATTTCATGGGACAACATATTGAATTTGCCACTGGTAATTGCCGTTCTTTAGAAGCTCGAGATACATCGAAACGTTTGTGGGACGAGTTAACAAAAACCTTGAACAACTGCCAAACGGGCACTAAGAAGACTTCAGATGGATGGAGTAAGGTTTGTAAGACTATGGTATGTTAAATAGCTTATAAAGGTCAAATATTTGCTTAAAAACTCTGACACTATAAGACCGATCTAAGAACTTTAAAATTATTGTATTAAATATAAAATGCACTCTTTTTTTTAATACTACAAAAAACCTAAATAACCGTTCTAACATTACAAGTGGAAACTAACTTTGCTGTTCTTTCAGTACTGGAGTGATTTCAAGAATAAACTAAAAAACAAATTTACCATATTAAATAAGAGAAAGGGGTCAATGTCAAAGAAAGATATAAGCCCATTAAGTAAACTGGAAAAAAGAGCTCTTGTGATACTGGAAGCTCATTTTGAGAAGAAGAAGGATAGAAGAAATAGTGAATTCGCTAACAATGCAATATCTGTAACTATGATGTTTTTTCACTTAATTTTAAGTTAAGCAATCTCAAAACATCAAAATTTAAGGCTGAATAAGATTTATCTTGTCAGTAGACTCTTGTATTAGTAACCCATTAAGTCTGTTCCAGAGTCAAATACCACCAGAGGTTAAGATAGAATCTTATCAAGATGGTTTTAGTGAGTACAGTAAAGCTCAAAGTGAAACTAGTGATAGACTTTCAGGTAAATTAAAAAAATTGATTTGTTTTATAATAAACAGTCTCAATATATCAAGCAAACATTTTGCATCTCTTAATACTGCAAATTTTAAGTTTATGTAAAGAAGAAGAGTGTAAAGTTATTTTCTTAATGAATTTCAATCAATGGGTGACTGTTAGTTTATGTATTATTGAGTATTAGATTTATTAGACTAAAGAATCAGTACATTGGTTTAATAATTTCCAACTCTCTAATTGGTTTTTCTTTTGTTTCAGACGGGGATAAAGTTGATTGTATAGACTCAAATAATGAATTTGAAGACAATGAAGACTCTGACCAAAATTCAAATGAACCTCTTATACATAGTATGTTAAAATATCTTTATTTTTTTCTTTTGTTATTTCATAGATTTCCAAATGTCTTTTTTTACCAAGCTGCCTTAGATCAGCATGGTAAAATAAAGGTCTAGTCAACAGGCCATTATTCTAAGAAGACTGTTGATACCTATATTACTTAGCTGCTATCTGAAATGTGTTTTATAGATCTCTACCCAAAATGGTTGATTGAAGTTGAGAAAAAACGCGCAGAGGCTGAACTGATACGAGCAAGAGCTGAAGAGCATAGAGCCAGTGTGTTCACCAAAAGTGCTGAGGCAATGTTTCTGCAGGCAGAGGCTCTGAGGCGCTTGTCTGAAGCTGCCACCACCCAAGCTGAAGCCATCACACGGATAGCTATAGCGTTGGAGAATAGACATAGGGACAATATGTCAATATGATTCATGATCTCTTACATGTTATGGTAAATGGAAATTACATACTATGCCACTTTAGTTTTCTCAAAGTGCAAGATGAATTGTTGTCCATTAATGTGTTTAATTTTAAAGGGTTCTGTGGATTCCTGCTTTGGTGCGATGTTAGATGGCATTCTATTTCCTGCGCACGCGCAGCACACATTGGTCTGAAGTGAATATGCCACCTACATTGTAGGTTGACGTCGAGTGGTTAACTCGTTAGCCCCGGTGTCGATGCTCCAGACGCAAGGATACAATATTTCTTTCAAAGATTTATGTATGGTATAGTTCGACAAGGATCTTCTGAGAGTCGGGAAATATATGAACTAACTATGTCATTTCGACAGCGTCATATTTTAACCAATGAAGAAGCAGCTGCTATAGGTTTGATGTCACCTATTTTATGTTTTTGAAATTCCCAAAAATAATAATAATTATAAATAAGTACTTTTATTTACCCAGATTATAACGACTTATAAATATACCAAACATTACCTATCAATAATGCGAGATGTCACTTACGGTTCAATCATCATCATCATCATCATCTGTATCAATAACCTAAAGTTTTATCAATACTATGTATGTATCAAATAAAACAGTAGAAATTGCACTTACTAAGGTTATTGTTGCAAAAAAAAATTTAAATACCGCATAGGACTCTTCCATCTTCAGTTGACGGTTCCTTTTATTTTATCAACATAGTTTAAAGAATTTTCATAAAAGTTAGGAATTGTTTTGTTTACTGGCAACTAAAAAAGGTAGTAGGTGCCCCTTGTTTGTCAATGTCAAAAAACTGCCATACGAAATGTGCGCATGTTTGTTATGGTTATTATTTGTGCATTATTAAAGTTTATTTAAATAATTCTACTGTAGTGCATTTTAGTTGGTTGTATTGCATTTTTTTCTTATATTACCTTAGTACCTAATTCATCGATTATAAAATACAGTTTGTGTAAAAAATGGTACGGGCACTAAAATTTCATGAGAAAAAGTTACTGAAAAAAGTAGATTTTATATCATGGAAGGTTGATAATAATTTAAACGAAGTGAAGGTGATGAAAAAGTACTTCATACAGAAGCGTGAAGACTATACAATGTAAGCTTTAATACATTACAAAACATTAATTTAACTTTTATACCTTGATTGTTTCAGTTACCAAACCACAGTCATAATATAGAATGTCATTATATTAAAATATACATTCTGATAAAAAATCTCTGATAGATTTAGGATGCTTTGTCTGTTAAAGACATACATAAATTAAGTTCAGATGCATTTTATGTTTACTATATTATACTTTTATTAGTTTAGAGTTTAGATGAATTATTGTTTATGTATCAACATCTGTGTTGTTGAAGTTATATTCATTACATATATATGACTATATAGTCAAGGGATTAAAACATTTTTTCCTACAAACTTAACATGTTTTTATAAGATTTTTGTGACTCTGGGGACATATCTGGAAATTTCTTGAATTATGTCATTGCAGCTGTTTATGTAACACTTAAAATAACAGTTTGAGGTTCATTGTCTAGACACTGTTTTGTAAGATCAAATAAATAGTGTAGCAATTTAAATAATTTTATATTTATTAAACTCTTTACTTAATCTAGTTTTATTTTATTAGGTACAATGTGCTCGCTAGGGATATAAGAAATATTGCCAATAAAATCAAAGATTTGGATGCAGGATCAAACTTCAGAACAATATCAAGTGGACGTCTTTTAGAGAAGTTGTATCAAATGGGACTTATACCAACGCGATGGGATTTAGCTCTAGCTTCAAGTGTCTCTGCCAGTTCATTTTGTCGGCGAAGACTGCCTGTTGTCATGCTTCGAAGTAAGTTAACAGGTTTTTATTAATAAAAAGAAATTAAATCTAGGTATTTATACCTTCCATCGCTGTAATGTGATTGTATTAAGTGATAGAGTACTGTAAACCAGGAGTTTATAAAATACTAAATAAGTCTTTTTTGTAGATAAAATGTCAGAGAATTTAAAGGAAGCAACAAAATTGATAGAACAAGGTCATGTGAGGGTTGGTGCCCAACTTGTAAAGAACCCATCCTTTCTTGTCACAAGAGCATTGGAAGATTTTGTCACATGGGTAGATTCTTCAGCAATTAAGAAACATATTATGGAGTACAATGATATGGTATGTATATTTTTAAGTAAATAATTACTGTTTTTATATCATCGTCAGCCACTGAGGGGGCTTACCCTAAGTCAGGAGTGACTTGACTTTGGTCAACCATGCTGCCTGCAGGTTGCACAAATATCTGTGAATTTCTGGGCCGATATGTGCAGGTTGCAGCACAATATTTTCCTTCACAACATGTGAAATTCGAAAATTGGAATTCACATTGGATCATGGTGGGATACAAACACAAGACCTGTAGACTACAGAACAGGTGCTTAAACTAATGAGTCATAGATGCGGCCTTCTTTCATTTCTTGTAGCTATTTTTGAAAATTGGATATCAAGCCCAAACATCACTGGATGTTAAGGTTCAAAATTATTCATCAATAAAAAAATTGTCACACTAATGAAATCAATTTAATTTGTTTCAGAGAGATGATTTCGACAATATATAGTAAACAGAACTTATGACATCATTATTAATATTTTTAAGTTAAGTTTAAATAAAGTATGCATAAGCTGTTTTCGTGTTTATTTCCTAATTATTTTTTTGAATTCATATCATGATTTTAAGTTTAACTTTAATATTACAGCTAACGAAGATTAGAGGCGCAAACTATGTAACCTTGTTTTTACATTTATTTAAAATGGTATTTTTAAAAACTGCTTTTCATTCGAAGTATCATAGTAAACGGTTGGTATTATAGTACACGGGGTGACCATACTACTCTACTACTTTCCCATTTTTTTCATAACAGAAGTATTCGGTTTGATACTCTTTGATTAAATGAGTTATCTATGGTTTAAAACGTCAAATCAATTTGTGGCTTTGCATACTCTGTCGCCCTCTTTAATTTTCTCTTGATTTATTGATTCTTTCGTCACATCAAATAAGCAAAATAAAACGGCGAAAAGCTTTGTAGAATCGTAATGAACTAATTCTTGAAGTTAACCAACTCCCTGTTTCTCGCCGCTAAAAAATCTAAGGTAGATGGTGAACACGTAAAAACAAAAACGGTCGATCAGTTCCAACTGAATTGATATTTACACTGAAAGGTTCAAATAATATATAAAACTTCATCTTTTAAAAACCATACTAAAATGAGTTACAATTACAAGGAGGATGCCATGGCTTTTTCTCAGTATTTGCCAAATGTGGTCAAGTTGGACGAATTACAAAAAATTACCCAAAATTTAGACCACGAACTTGCTGAATCTCAAAGAATTATGAAAGAGATCAGAACTATGTTTGATGCCGCCTCTAAAGTAAACGTTTCACAAGTGAACAATAATAAACAGAATAAAGTAACACATACGATTACTTCGGAATTTCTAGATGCGAGTGTTCCAAATTTGATTATGTCGGACATGGAAAATGTGTCCGAACATCAAACTTCTGAGGAGGAACTGCAATCTGTAATAGCGGTTATGAACAATTATGCTGAAAATCTGAGAACGCAAGTTACAAGTTCACCATCACAAACCCTTTGTGGAAAATTTGAAAAGTTAGATCTAAAGGAATATGCATTAAATTTTGATCAACTTGCTAAAAGTTTGGCCAACATAAAGTTTAGTAAAGATGTTAACAACAGAAACCCAGAATTGGAAGCAAAGTTGGCACAGCTGTGTGAAGATGTTCATTCATTTACTCAGGTAAAATACTATATACTATACTATACTAGGTGCTGCTGGTGATTTTTCCCGCACAGAATTTAAAAAAAACTTATTAACCTATGTATTCTAAACTCTACATCTATCGAATTACATCAAGATACTGTGTACTGCTCTAGAGATACCTTCTAATAAACATCCATTCATCTAAACTTTCACATTGATGTTTTTAGTAAGATTTTGTACTATTTGTATGACTTTTATGAATGTTAAACTGGCTATTCTCCTATATAGTGTGTATTCCTGTATCTTAATGTATGTTATGTTTTTTTAGATGGTAGAAACCAAAACAGCTATAAGTGAATGCAACAAAAATTGGACAGATAATCAAAAAGGAAGCGAACAGACAAATGCTCTATGTTACGATGAAACTATTAACAAATTACTTAATGGAATAAATGAAGTAACATATCTTTTAAAGAATAAACACTGAACTTTGCAGACATGTCTGGAAAGTAACAAGTTTATTGGCTGACAAAAACAACATTTAAATAACAGAATCTTGATTGTAAGGCCAAGCTTAACTCCAAATTACATTCATATTTTGTCATCAGACAGTAAAGCGGTGCTTACAAAGCCATTTTCAAGATTCATTTTGCTGTATGAGGATTCGACTGAGTGTAGAAGATTGATGTTATTCCCAATTGTCAAACCTGATAATCAAGTTAAGATGATATTTAGACCCTTATTATCCTTTCATAATGATTAAATAAGCAAAAATGGTTTGAAATTGAATATTCTGTCTACTATGAGCAAGTTATTTCTATAGCTTAATTTCTAAGTTTTTATTTCAATTTTGTACCGGAAGTATAATAGTTATTTTTCATGAAATAATTTATTTAATAAGATTTAAATGAAAAGCTTTTAATCTAACTTGGTGAAAACGACTTCTAAATGTATAACCCTGTTAGAAGTACTAACTTAGCAATTAATTATTCCTATAATCAAGCATAATAATATAAATATTATAAAAATATTAATATTTTTAAGACTTATCAGGTTATTGTAAACACTGAGAATGTCAATAAATGGATTATCTAAAAATAGTCAATTCTTTTACTTGTTTATTTTTATAGTAAAATAAATATAAAATAAATAAAAAAAGCCATCAAATAAAGCAAAATAGTAATTTGGTAAAAAATAGAAAATAAAAAATAATACAACACAAACTAATTAAAATGAGTGAGAGATAGTCATATAATACAAACTAAAATTAACAATAAGGTAATTTAAATAGAAATATTATGCTGTCTGTACTTATGGTCGCGTCATGCTTGTCTCGTTATTCCGAACCGTCAAGTCTTATTCTCTTTCTGTCTATATCATTGTCTCTGTTATCATTTTGTTCGTCGTCATTCATTCTTTGATCGTCACTCTTTGTAGGCTTTTCATCAGCCTCCATAACTTTTAAGCGTATACCACATACAACCGCACCATTTAAACATTCTATGGCTGCCTGCGCCGATTTCATAGATGCATATTTTGCAAAACCAAATATTTTATTGGGGAATGTTGAGACATGTATAAGGTCACCAAATCTACTGAACACATCTCTCAATACAGAGCTAGGGGGAGGCTGAGGCCTACAAACTATAAAACATCTTTGAACCACTCGGCTTGCATTGTTTGCCAAAGGTTGGGGCGGAGGGAGGGGGATGCTACAGTAATTCATATCATGTTCATGTTCCTCGGATATTTCAGAAGTACAAGTAACAACTTTAATTAAAGTGGATGCTTGTGCTATCGCATCCGCTAGTTGCACTAAGTTAGGAGAGCCAGCATCAATAGCATTTTTAAAATTATTGACTATACTACTCAATTCTGCTGCAGCTTTATTCAAAGGATTCTTATCAGGCCAGACTGTTAATATTTCCCCAGAAGGAAATTCAAAATTATTAAGCTTGTCTATAGCCAATGCAGCTGCTTTGTTATCCTCATATGTGATGTTGGACTTGCACACACCATTATATGTATCCACGGCATATTGACAATTTTTCATTCCAGGTACAATATTAAACAATTGTTCTATATACCGTTGAGGCACAGCAGGGAAGCATTTAACATTTACTCTGTTGAAATCAAAAGGTTTATTTAATGTTACTCCATTTAGAATATCTCTCTTACTGTCATCTCTTTGATGATAGCGTTCTATATAGTTGTCCCTACATGGAGAATTACTTGAATGATAGCTATCCATCTCCAAGCTATTCCTACTTCTTTTTAATTCCTCCTTAGGAGTTGCAAACATAGGTTTGTACTTCCTGTCACATTCTTCATAAGCCTTTGCAGCGTCAACAAATGTTTTATATTGAACATAGGCAAATCCCTTATTGGTTTCAGTTAATTTATCCTTTTGCAAATGAACCGATTCCACATGACCAAAATTAAAGAAATGCTGTTTTATTTCACTTTCAGTTGCCTCTCTGTGGACTTTAATAAACAGCCGCGTATACCTATCCTCACTGCAGCTGCTGGCGTCATTTCTATTCACAGCAACCATCACTTTAATAGGCTTTGAGTCACTTTTCAAGGTTTTGAGATGCAGTTCTTGAATGGCCAGAGCTGCTGAAGAAGTTTTATTAAATTTAATGTAAGCTACGCCTTTGGATTCGCCTGAAGTGCGGTCCTTCGGTATGTATATATCTTCAATGGTACCAAATTGCTCAAAGTACGGCCTTAGGTCTTCTTCTCTGATTTGTTTGCCACAAACAACAAAAATCCTGGAATGAGGAGGCTTTTCCTCCTTTCGTTCTTCATGTCGTACGATTTGGTTCCAAGTGCTCATTATAGTCCGTAAAGTTTTCAAGTGTCGAGTCAACAGTCAAGTCACGTTCACAAAGTACTTTTCTGTGCAATTATTTGTAAGCATTTATTGAAGAACGTCGATGTCAGTATCCCTCCAGTCCGATAACGTCTTTTTGAGTAATTTGATTGTAATTTAATTATTTTTAAGTTACTTTCATCCAAGTTTGTAATATTGATATTACAATTTTCTTACGTCAAAGTGATCAAAAAGTTAAGTTTATTTGTGGTTGATTTTGTTGAGTTGTTTATTGTTGCCAAATAGTTGCTACAGATTGCCAAATGCCAAATGATACATGGAAACCGCTTTCTAAAATTATTAAAATTAAATTGTTATTTTACACTGTATCTTACTTTCTCCTAGCAAAAGTTTTTCAAAAAAGACAAACTACTTCATTGTTAGTTGTATCAAAAAAATTTAAAATATTTTGTTGGTTTGTAAATTACAATTTCCGAACAATTTCTAAGTTATTGAATTTTAGCTGTCATCACAAAACTTTGACAATTTGACAAGCATCTTTCTTTTGTAAACATTGAGAACCATTTAATTGATTTCTGGAAATGTAAACCTGAGAAGAATGTAGCATAAAAGTGTAGGAATTGTAATTTTGCTATATTTGGGCTTTGAATTATTTGTGTATAACGGCTAACTGTGTAATTCTCGTAGCCTATTTCGAATTCAGTGAAAATGTTCTCAAAGTACATCACCGACATTTATCTACAATAATACGCAATTGACTACAGTAATATTAAAATATGTATCCGACTATGGAAAATTTCTTAATGCAATCGAGGCAGAAGTTGTACAGGGGCGAAGAGTTTGAAGACGAGTTGAATGATTTGTTTAATAAAAAGTTTAAATTCCGCTTTAACAGTGAGTGGACATTGCCGCCTGGCGATACTTGGTTTACTGATGCACCTTGGAAAGTAAAGGGTTTGGAATATTTGAAAAGTCGTTTAAACTTCCATAAGAGTCAACTGAACGACTTTAGCATTGAGGAATGGAGTAGTCACACTCGGCGACGCAATCCTGCCGGCGAGGTTTGCTGGAAGCTTAGATGCCTGGTGAACCCCGAATTTCTCACGCAGGCCTGGACTAAGTTCTATGAGTGTGCTTCAACATACAACATTGTGCCACCAGAGGCTATTTCGGACATGAAAATGGTGTCATTACATCTCTGTGAAGCTCCCGGTGCATTTATTACATCATTAAACCATTATTTAAAGCTACATCACCAGGCTATTGATGTAATTACTTTTTTACACTAAAAGTATTAATTTAATGAAACTTTATTTTGATTCTATGTAATAATAAGTTGTACTGTTTCAGTGGAAATGGGTAGCAAATACTCTGAATCCATATTATGAAGGCAACTCATCATCAAACATGATCAGTGATGATCGCTTCATGTTCCACACTTTAGACAATTGGGACTTTGGTGTTGACAACACTGGCAATCTGATGCATTGGGAAAATTCACAAGCTATTATCAAGAAAGCCAAGTCCTTAGGCAAGGTAAGACCCATTTAACAATGTAACCTTTGTTAATACATCTTAATTTTCATCTATACTTAGTTGAAAGGAATATATCATTATGTGTCATAAATTGTATAATTGTGCAGGTGCTGCTAGTAACTGCCGATGGATCAATTGATTGTCTCCAGAAACCTGATGCCCAAGAAGAAGTTACTTCACCGCTCCATTACTGTGAAATTATAACAGCACTACAAGCATTAAGCCCAGGTATAGTAATCCTTAGATATTTGCAGCTCTTAACTTCATGTGGCCTGCTGTGAAGCACACATTTATTTTAGCAGAAGGGTACTGTGCAGACCATCAATGACATTAAGACACCATGATATTTGACTTTATTTGGTTAAATTTATCACAGTTAAGATAATAATTTTTAATAATTCCCTTTCATTTTCAGGTGGAACATTAATCTTCAAATTGTTTACTATTTTCGAACATTCCACAGTGAACCTTTTGTATCTACTTAATCAGTTGTTCAAAGAAGTAAACATTTATAAGCCAATAACATCCCGTCAAGGGAATTCTGAGGTGTATGCTATCTGCATGCAATACAAAGGTTTAGATCTGAAACCTTACATACCAATATTACAGAGTGCATTTGGAACAGAACTCTATTCAAATAAATCATTGTTCCCACTTGAGAAAATACCTGAATCATTTCTAAAGCAAATTGAAGAATGCGCATATTACTTCTGCTCGATTCAATGTCATGTTATAAACAATAACCTCCAAGCATATCTCATGCAAAAGAACATAGCTCTACACAGGGATATGAAAAAGATCAGGGCCATTGTAGCTTCTGAGTTTATTTGGAAATACAATCTCAAACCGATTAGTAACAATCAGGAACTTTTAAAAGGCACACTACATGAAGAAAATAAAATAAACACAAATCCACGATACCATAGAGGCTCGTATACCGAACGACAACTGTACACAAAGATGTCATTAAAAGAAAAACATAAAAATTTGAATATGTTCCTTCAAGCTGAACTTCTATCCAACCCAATGATACATATCACAGAACCAGTTAAATGGATGACTGGAGCGGAGTCCTCAAAGATAGATGTCGTTTTCACATATGGAAAACCTTTGCTAAAAGTAAACAGTTCAAAGTTCATATTTGTCCCTATCTACAAACTTTACCAACAGATTCTAGCTGAGGAGGAATTCAAAGAGATCATTCTCTACAGACCCGCTAAACCAAAAATTGATCCTAGTCTATTAGGACCTGAACCATCTAAAATTATTACACTACCCGAGTTCCAATACAGGGAGAGTTACAATGTTTATGAGAAGAATTGTTTTAAGACATTACTGAATGGAATGCGGGAGTTACTGGATGGTGAATCAATTTTATTGCAGAATTTCAACACATTGACACATTTCAATGTTAGTATTGTCTATATTCTCTCAAAGGCGTGTTTTGAAAAGACAGGACTCACTTCTTGCGGAAATATCATTCTTAGCAAGTTGATTAACAAAAATTGTTTAAAGTACATGGAATATATTGACGATGAATGCAACAATATTCGTAAGGATGAAAAGAAGGATGTGTTGAATTGCCTCCCGGTTCAGGTGACCAACTCCGAAGATTTCTTCAGTAACATAGTCTTCTACAACAATACTTTCTATAGAAATAAATGCATCGAATACTTGGAAAAGATTAAACAATCTTTATAAATGTATAAATATTTCTTATATTGTGTATTCAATGTGTAGAGAGTATTTTTTTAATTGCTTTTATTCTTGTAATAAAACCTGTTATTGTCTTCTAACAATGTGTATTAAAGACTTTCTGAATGTTTCACGATGTTTTTTCTATTTTAAATAAATAAAATTGTACTTCTTAACACTGCAAAGTATTGTCTATTTTATTTTATGAAAGTATTCTATACGACGAATCATATTAAATTGCTTATAGAAGGAAATCGACGATGTTTAAATGAATGAAATTCAGGCTTTCTTATTACATTTTTTTAAACCGGAAACGGTAAAAATAAAAATAACCGTAGAACCAAAGACAATAGAAGGAACGCCGAACTTTCATTTTCTATTGCAATTTGAACAAACTGTCAGAATCAGAATGTCACATCTCAGTTCAAAACAATTGCTTATAAACTGGTTTATTTGATAAGTATATATTTTTACTGTACCTAGTGATAAAATAATCAATATTTGTTGATCACTGTGGATTCCAACCGCAACACAAAATGAATATAATAAATGAAGGTAAGAGAAGTTTTTAATTTCTAACCTATACTTAAGATTTTGGCGGCTTTGTAATTTCACATTGATTTTAATAGTTAAAACAAACAATGGCCACTAGAATCGTAACCTTTAACAAAAAGGATAATAACTGCACAATTATATATGCTATTTCCTTTGAAATAACAATATATTTGACACCATATAGTATCACCTTGTTGAATACCTTGGCAATATGTATTTGCAATTTAAACTAGTAGAGTTCGGATATAAGTCAATTACTTACTACTTACAATAACTTTCCATACATAAAAGTTCTATGTATAAATGTTTGCCAATTTGTGTTTTAATTTGTCCAATATTTAATATTTTATTTTTACATAGGAACTACTATTGAAGATCTCTGGACACCATACAAAGAACTAGTATCAGTGGTGGAGGGTTACTTGGCACATGAAAGTGGAGGAGCTCCATATGCTGTGCACACATTTGAAGCTGTATTAAGAAGGCACAAACAGACATTCCTATCACTCTTAAAATATCCTGTAAGTTATGACCAATGTAAAACTTAATTACTTATAAACTCTTCATAATTTGTGATAATTTTTACATGTAAAGGTTAAAAATATCAGAACGGTGAATATCTGGGTCTTTTCAATATTGTGAAGTTTTTTTAATAATTGTCTTGTTCACAGCCTAAAAATCCAACAAGCAGAGAAGAAATCAAAAGAGGTGTGACAGAAGGAGTCAATTTACCAAGCGTGGGCAGAACTTTGCTGTCCAAAGAGCTTGTTGATGAAGCAATCATAATATCAGGTATTACAGAAATTTAAAACCTATAATGATGTATGAAAAAAATGTTTATACAGCCTAAAACTATCTAAAATCATAATGTTAAATGAAAACAGCTTTATTTCATAGGCATGAGATGAGATCTAGGCCAGTAGTTGTTGTCCCTGGCTATGCCCATGTCTCTGCTCATTACATTGCTCTGAGTGTAAATCTATTCACAAATACCTATTGATTTTTACTTCAGGTAATAATAAATTGTGTATTT